TCCCCGAGAGTCATTCACTAGGAACCAAGTTGTTAACTAGGTAACTACGAGGGTAAAAGTTGAATTCCAAGGCAGGCCTCAGCAAACTTTTTCCTGTCAAGGGCCAGATAGGAAGTCTTTTTGGCTTTCAGACCATACTGTCACAACCACTCAACTCTTGTGCCGGGTGGAAAGCAGTCATAGGCAATAAATACCTAAACAGTTGGGCCTGGGAGTGTTCCAGTAAAACTTTATTCACAAAATCAGGCAGATGGACCGGACTTGGCCTGAGGGCCGCAGTTTGCACACCCTTGCTCTCCAGGTGTCATGGAGGTTGCAAGGCGGGAAATGGCTGCTTCCCTAGCTCTGAAGGAACTCTTCTTTAGAGAGAAGAACCAAAATTGCTGGAAGCTTAAGAGGCAGGTGCTTGCTGGCTGGCGCTGGCTTCCCCGAATGGGGCTTGGTGAGGCCGGTGAGGCCGGTTCTACAAATGCAGGGAAGCCACAAACTGGATTAAATGCTGCCCTGGTAGGATCCACTGAGAGCAAGCCCAAAGGAGCAGGCAGGTCCCTTCTTCCTCCAGCCTTGCAGCGTCCCGCTATCGCCCCCTATTGGCAGAGTCTGACAGAGAGCTGATGGCAAAACAGAAACAGCTGGGATAGAGGGCTTTTGGGGCTGGGGGACAATCACGAATGCTTTGGTTGGTTGGCCTGTGGGCATTTAGACAGCCCTATCTATCCCATCATTTCTACAGGTGGCTCATCCTTTGGATTTCTCCGGATTTCATTCCAGAGATTAAATGTCAGGGTCCCCTTGTGGAGGAAAATCTTCTTTAGGAAATCAGTGACTGTGCTAGGAAATTGAGGGTGAGGAGGAAGAGGTAGGAAAGGGGGTTCCAAAGGCTCTGAGAGGACCTTAGAAGGAGCTTGCAGTTTAAGGACGGGCCTGTCCTCCAGAGTGAAACCCAGATCTGACCACCTAGCCCCACCCCAAGTATCTCCACGGACTTCCTTAGCCCCCAAGACGCCCACTTCCACTCTCGCCCCTGTGGTCTGTTCTTACGGTGACCAGATCACGTCATCCTCCTGCTCACACCCTCAATGTAACGTCCTCTGTTGCCCTTGGAGTAGCATCCAGCCCCCATCCCATGCCTGCCCGGCCCAGCAGGGCTCTGTTCCCTGCTCTGCTGCATTGCTGGCCCCTCCCAGGGGCTCTGGCCACCCTGGACACTGCAAGTCCCTTCCCATCTCGGGGGCTATATGTGCTTGTTCCTCAGCCTGGAACTCTCTCCCTAGTTCTTCTCGGGCCTCGCCCCACACTTCCTCCACGTTTGTACTCCAGACCTCCCCGCAGTGGGGAGTGCATCCAAACCAGCGTCTCCCAGCAGGCTCGATCACGTTGCCCTGCTTTGTCTTCATAGCACCTGACATTATCGGTTTACATTCACTGCTGGATTCCCAAAGCTGGAATCGTGCTTGGTCGGTGGTGGGTGTTCTGCAAACATTTGTCAAGTAGGCAAATGAATGGATGGACAGACAGAATGGGCAGCGTGGCTGCCGCGGGGGGTACACGGAGCAAGATGGCGGGTGTCTAAGTCTGTGCTCCTGTCACGGGATACCACAGATGGGGTGGCTTGTAAACAACAGACATTTATTTCTGTCAGTTTGGGAGGCTGAGCAGTCCCAGATCAAGGTGCTGGCGGAGTTGATGTCTGGTGAGGGCCCTCTTCCTGGCTCATAGCCATCTTGCGGTGCCTCGTATGGTGGAAGGGGCGAGGGAGCTCTCTGGATGGAATGGGATAAGGGCACTGACTCCACCCTCATGCCCCCCTCACCTCCTAAAGGCCCCACCTCCTCACACCATCATGTTAGGGGTTAAGATTTCAACATGCGAATTTGTGGGGGGAACACAAACATTCAATATATAGCAGGGGGTGAGGCTGGTGAGGTAGTGAGGGGCTGGGTGGGGCAGGGCCTCAGGAGCCCGGGTGAGGAGTTTGGATGGCAGAGGAAGGAGAATGAGAGTTGTTGCTGGGTTTAAGCAGGACTGCTGTGACCAGGCTGTAGTTTCTGGGGTCCCTTGAGCCGTTGGCTGGACTTTCCAGTCCTGAGATGCTGGCATCTGGGCAGGAGGAGGGAAGTGATTCCAGAGGTGTTAGGGGAGCAGAATCAGGACAGCTTGGGACAGAAGTGAGGGGTGGGGGGTGTGAAGGGGACCCCAGGCAGAAGCCTGGGACAACGCTGGGGACAGGGTGGGGGCCGAGTTTGCTGTGTGTTCACAAGAAGTTCAAGGACCTGCTCACTCTAGTCATTTGCAAAGCACCCATCTCCTGAGCTCCCTGGGACCAGAGAGGAGTTGCACACCTGGACCCTGTCCTGAGATGCCCCCGGCCATGGAGGGTGGGGACAGTAGACAGGTGACACTCCTCAGAGGGGGACCAGTTCTGAATCCTGGGGTCAGCTACATCCAGGTACTTACCCTTATTACGTCTCTGTTTCTTCAATCGTGGGAAGGACAGGGTCCCTCTGGGGACTATTCTGGGGAGGGGACGCCCCAAAATGGTGGCCATGGGGTACATGCTGTGTAAGTGTGAGCCTTTAGACCCATGTGCGGCTCCATGAAACACGGAAGGAGAGCTATCTCTGCTTGGGAGGCTCTGGGAGGCTCCCTGAGGAGGGGTGACATTCCCAGGCTCTCAGCAGAGGAGACAACGATGCATCCAGCTGGCCCTGCTTTTGCAGGTTTGGTAGCAGAAGCCGAAAAGCAAACAGATCTTTTCCAAACTGAGCTCAATGCTGTGATAGATCAAGGGGGGCCTGGCATGTGGGGAGCCCATAGAAGGTGCCACAGAGGAGGGAGGGAGCAAGGGGACCCTGTAGGAGTGGGTGGGTCCAGTTCTGCAGGGCAGAGTGGGGTGCCTCGGGCAGAGGCCAGAGAGCAGCTGGCGCGAGAGGGAGCCAGAGGCCCACGGATATGGTGGGAACTTTAGCAGCCCTGGGTGCCGTCCAGAGAGGCGAGGCTTGGCCAAGCTCCAACAGTATTTGTTGGGAAGCTCCGTGTAGGTTGTGCCTAACCAGATAGGCAAGGAGCTTGTAATTCAGTAGGAAAGACAGTCCGTTAATAAGCAAATGGCAGGGTCATCTTCACTAGTGCTAAGCAGGATATAGAGCAGGGTAATGGGGACACCTGGGTGGCTCAGTCGGTTAAGCATCCAACTTCCACTCGGGTCATGATCTCATGGTTCGTGGGTTCAAGTCCCGAGTCAGGCTGTGCGCTGATAGTGCACAGCCTGCTTCAGATCCTCTGTCTCTCTCTGTCCCTTCTCTGCGTGCTCAATCTGTCTCTCTCTCTAAAATAAACAAACATTAAAAAAAAAAAAAACCCAGGGTAATGGGTAATATGAGAAAGAGGACCCGGGGTGGAGGTGAGTGCGATCTGGATGCCACTATGGGGAGGGCTGAAAGAGTGAGGTATGAACTAAGCCTCGAATATTGAGGAAGAGCTACAGAGCACATGCAAAGGCCCTGAGGAGGGGAATGAAACTGCATTTTGAAGAACAAAAGGCAGCCATTGTAGCTGGAACCGAGTGGGTGAGGGGAAAGGGCATGAGGTGAGGCCAGCATGCAGGTGGGTCTCACATCACCTGGGGCCTCTTGGCTGGAAAAGGGCTTTATTTTAGGTGCAGTGTGAAGCCACCCAAGAGTTTTAAATAGGACTTTCCCTTTGGACTGTGGTATTCTTTTTTCTTTTTTTTACATTTGTTGAACATTTATTTATTATTGAGAGACAGAGAGAGATGGAGCATGAGCATGGGAGGGGCAGAGAAGGGCGGAGACACAGAATCGGAATGTGAGCTGTCAGCACAGAGCCCAACACGGGGCTCGAACTCACAAACCGCAAGATCATGACCTGAGCCGAAGTCAGACGCCTAACCAACGGAGCCACCCAGGCACCCCTTGGACTGTGGTGTTCTGAGTGGTGGCTGAGGGGCTGGTGAGCTGGCTAATG